AAAAAAGAAAATTTTTGGTGAAATTTATTTTTCATTTGATATGTCACAAGGGGCACCTTGCTATTTAAAAAAAAGTTATGGGTAGGGGAAAAGGGGGGGGGGATTATCTCACAAATTCATGAGCCGATTTTCAATTTTTTTCACCAAACATTTTCTTTTTTCATGCTCTTTCATTTGATATGTCACAAGGGGTACCTTGCTATTTAAAAAAAATAAGTTGTGGTCAGGGGGGAAAGGGGGGGAATGTGAATGTATTATTGAATTCAAAAAAATTGTGCCCCCTACGGCAATAGATGATTCCCGCAAACTGAATATTTCTATCTATTGCGGTTTTTACATAAATAAAGATGCAAGTTTAAAAAAAAAAAACACCCTGTATAGGTATATATCAGTTCTGGGGCTACAACAAAGAATTTTAAGCCACCTGATAGTCTTTAATTTCTAGTAATCCGGCATGGGGCTGTTCTTAACCGTGCCAAAATTATTGGAAGTCCATTGCAATTTCATTCACTGATCTAGTGAATTTTCTAAGTAATCCTACATACATGGCATAATTACAAGTGTATCAAAATCATTAATGGTGATTCAAAATCCAACTAGAAAGTACATTTTTCAATTCTAATATAAGAATTTGTTAAGTACCTACAGTAGTAATTCTCTTGTTGCAGGTTTCAATCAAGGAAATTGAAGAAGTTTTTCAGGTTGCAGGAGTTGTAATGTTACGGATGAAATCATGTCACACAGTTTACCAAAAGACTGAAGACAATCCTGAAGTAAGATAGTTTTCAATAAATCACTAATCCAATTTCCAATGCACGGACTTCCATTCAATATAGTAGTTCATAATCTGCAAGCACTGTACCTAAACCAATATTAATTTATTATTTAAATGACTTTTTGTATAGTTAATAGTTATTATTGTACAGCCTAATTTCATCTACCCGTACCAAACTATAAAGAAGGTATCTCATAACTAATTACGTTGACTTCACAAATAATTTTATTTGAGAGCCATGATAAAACACTTAAAGTGAAAGTAAATAATTTAGCTATGAGAAAATGAAGGCTTAATTCGAACGCTAAGCAAAACAGTGTCAAAAACCTCTCAGGTTAATTCAAATAAACTATGGGTTTAATAGAAGGTTTTGCTTAACTATACTTGATGCGTATACAGCTTGTATGTAGTTTCTGGAATGAAAATATTCCAATCCTGTTAAACGTAAGCGATACTTCTGGATTGGAGGGAATCTTTGAGCTCAATGACAATATTCAAGCGTTTTGAGGAAGAGTATTTTCAGGAGGTCCAAGATGAGATTTCTGAAATTTCTTTTCTATACAGGAATGGAACAGTGTGATCCTGACCTACATGAAGTATGTCTTTGGTTGCACGAATCACACGCATCCACCTTTTGTTTATGGACCCATCAAGAAATACGCAGATAGTATCTCGGACAAGGAGTTCCAAGAAATGCTTCAGACCAAGAAGACACTCATTGAAAAATTTGATGTAAGTTAGCATTTACAAAGCCATAGTGTACTTTTAAAATTTTAATTCCAGTTTAGATGAGAGTGGGCTGATTCTAGTGGGCTAAAATATTATGTTGATGCTAGAATAACATTTCATAAATTAAGGAGTAGGAAAAAATGGGTATATAACTATAATAATATGTTTGACAAGTGGATTATTATATTTTGTAAATGTAGCATCATATTTTTTTGAGTTTATCCACCCCAGTGGCATTTCCAAAGTTCTTTTGTAAAAGAATGGTCTAAACCCTGGTCTTATTACTATCTTACGTTGGCCTTTTGTTAGATAAGATCATTAATTGATAGTCCAATGACAAATGGCATCTAGGTCTGTTATGGTCTTGCTTTGGTTCACGTCCAAATTTCTATAGTCTCTGTGTACATTTCTGCAACATGCCCAGTCCCATGTAGAATTAATGGGTTAGTCAATTAACGTAAACGATTATCCTAAGTACTTAACAAGTACGGTTACTAATCTTGGCTTAAGAGTAGATACCACACGACCCACATTCCACCTCGTACTCCATGGTTAAGCTTTGTCATATTATATGTATATATGTAATGCTGATGTGATCACTTTGTCTGGATTTATCATATTTTTAACAGCAATTTTCAAACACACAATAATGATAAAACACATAATTTTGTTCCAGGATATGTTGAAGGATGATGGTGTATTCTTGTACCCCACATTCCACGATATGACTAACTTCCACCTCCAGTTCTACTACAAGCTTCTCAACATTGGTTATTGCACGCTTTTCAACCTGATAGAACTTCCTACTTGCTCTTGTCCTACAGGACTGGCCAAAGACGGCAGACCTACAGGGTTCCAGGTGGGTAGATTTAGTTTGGTGAATTGTTTGTACATTGAAATCAAGAAGGAAAAAAATAGGTAAATTTACCTACTAGAGCACATGTAAAAAGGATAGGGAATCAGCAGACTGACGTTCAAAAAGTACAAGTGCATTTAACAATTTTTGTAGTCAAAATCCCAGACAATATTGAAACAGTTTTAAAGTTCCAAACCTAAATCAGCTGTTAATTATTGTACTTTTACAAATTTTAGGCGTTTTGAGGGGAAAGTTTACTAAGTTCCTCCATGACTTTTTTAAGCTTAATGTATACCTATATCAGCTGATCAACTGTCGGCTGTTGTTTCAAAGTTGGGGTGATGCGGAGGGGAATGGAATCGCTTACCTTCAAACCGCCTAAATTTTATACTATTCTCCACTTCTTTTCAAATAAACCAAGCATCCTAAATTGTAGTCTTCATAAACTATCAATTAATGGGATCAATATTAGAAAAATGGTTAGATAAGAGGGGATGGATAAGGATGTGCTACAACTCAGATCATGTTTATGTGGTTATCTTTCTACGAAAGGTAAAAAACTGGGCAGTTTATGTCAATCTTGAAGGTAGAATAAGCCATAACACACATTACACCATTCAAGGACCCTAGTGCCATTTAAAGCCAATTCTCAAAAGATTAATTTCCACGTTGATATGTTTGAATTTCGACCCTTAAGAAAGTTAAGTCACTGTTTCTTCACTCAGCATTATTTATTTCTACAATGCCACTACTTAAATTATTTGTCCTCAGCCATCTCTACTTATCCTAATGAAAATGTAATTAAACTATAAATAATTCAAACAATGAATATAAAAGCTTTTTAAAATGAATTATTGAAATTCTTTTTTGAGACACATGCTGCTTTGTTTCTCATAACAAAATTTGTTGTAGGTGGCTGCCAACAAGCACCAAGATCGTTTAGTGTTTGCCGTCGCTAAGGAGCTAGAATCTGCTTTCGGAGGATGGGTTCCCCCACCCTCCCCCCTTCAAGCATCCAAGGGAGAAGACACGACAGATAAACGAGTTGTTCAAGGAGCTTGAGATACGTAGACTTGCAAACAACTTTTGTTGTGGATTCAGAAACAATTTCTGAAACCTAATTTTCGCAGGGACCAACTGATAAGAGGTGATATTTGGCTGTGGATATAAGATTTGTTACCGTCCATGTCTTGCTATGTGTTTACTTAAAACTCTATTCAGTTAGAATGGACACAGATAGTGAGTTTTACAGAATTGGAATGTTCAAACAAAATGGAACAACTTACAACTTTGTTATCTATTTTCGTATTTATTTGTAGACTGGTAGAAAAGTGTCACAATATTTGTAAAAACTCATGTTGTTGTAAAATACCTAATAAGTTCAAATAGGAAAAATGTAAAAGATTATTGTACATTCGATAAAAATACATCTTACAAGGTCACTGTTCAGATTATCTTACACATTTTGTATGAAAATGTTGAAGAACTGTAAATACAATAGTACTATTCTTTCAACATTGATTTTACACTTTTGTATTAGCAATATTGTAAATAAATACTGCAAAGATTTAAAATGTGGTTTTATTTTAATGTTCATCATCCTTGGTACCACAGTTTCATATTCGTACAAATGGTAAGTTAGTACAACTTAACAGTATAGTGACGTAAATTAGATCTCATGAAAGAAGTAGGTACTTATATAAGACATGGAAAGTTAGATTCTCAATAGAATATTCCTTGGTAGTTTTATTTTAACTGCTCAGGTATGAAAATAGAATGCAGATATACTTCAATGTTTTAACTTTATCAAGTCCATTTATAAAACTAAAAAAGTGAATATCAAATGCTTATTAGATAGTTTGCATTTCTAAACTTAACCTCCGGAAGTATATGATTCTATTAGTTTAATCTGAACAATAATAGTAAATAATAAAACTGTACAGTTCCACAATTCCTCAGATATCTGGTTTGTTGGTCCCTATCTAAACTGTTTTTCATAAAAAAAAGGTAAAACTTTGTTACAACTAGAAAGCTAAACATTGTAAACCATTCTTTTTGAAGTTTATAATTGGGAAGAATAGGTAACTATTTTAATATTAGTTGATGTACTTTTCCTACTCTAAGTGTTTTGACTACACTATGTACCTTGAGGTAAAGGAAACTCCCCGCTTTTAAGTGACTAACTATTAATCTACGATAACCTAACTAACCTAATTTTGAGGTCCGATTACTAGTTAGGTTGGATAGGGTAGATATAGGTATATGTGGATTAATAGTTATTCACCTGAAAACGGGAGGAGTTTCTTTATATCCCGAAACAGTGTAGTCAAAACCCTCAACATCCAGAAACTAAAAAAAGTTAATTAATATTAAACAACTTTGTTAAATACAAAAATGGTCAGATTGTTGACATAAAAACAACTTTTTCAGTCTGGGAATCCTGAAACATGTATCAATAATTTATTAATTTAGTTGGATAAATATGCATCAATCAAACTGTGCTAGTCTTTATATCTATTATTGATAGATGCAACACAGTAGCATCTAAAAAAGGTAAAACTATTTTTTTTTTTTTTTATAAAATACATTAAAGTTTTAGGCCTTAGAAATGTGATGTGGTTGCACTACACAGATGATCACTTTGTTATTTTACTATATTACAACATACTACCACATTAGCTTACGGCAGTCATTTCATAAACTTGCTGCAAATCATCCAAGAATTACATCCTAGTCAATACAAATCACTTGCGATCAATTTAACACTTATTGCGCCTCACAATATTTTTCATGCCACACTTCACGTTGTATAAACTTCAATAAATAAAATGTTGTCTTGAATGATGGTAAAGTTTATGTTCTTCACAACACTTAGCTTCATCATTTATGATTTACAAGATTTTATTCCATTTCTACTCCGGTCATGATTTGACTTCCATCATATCTGTCCCGGTAGGAGGAACCCATCCTCCGAATGCCTTCTCCATCTCACGAGCGACTGCCAAAGTCAGACGATCCTGACCCCTACCTGCCACAGCCTGAAAATGGAAACACATCAAATTAGGATCCTTTTAGAAAATCTCCCATTAAATGGTTGTACATAAATTACTCTTAAAGAAAGTAAACAAAATATTGATTTAAACTGTATTGAGGACTTGGACGGCGTAAAGACAAGCAAGCTATGGAAGACTACAGTGTAGAAGATCTACCAATTATGTTATACCTGTACCTAATAAATATTCTTCCTATAAAATTGTTTTTCTTTGGTCTGTCTTTAACACAAACACACATATATTTAAGCTCATAAAAATATTAACATGTCGTGTTTAATTATTGTTCCTATGTTTTTTTATGGAATAAAACTTTTGTTCTAAAATAATTTTAGTGTTTTTCTTAGAGTATTTGTCTAAAGCAATATAGCAACTATTGTTATTGCCAAATATCTCACATGATGTTGGATGTTATTTTGCCAACATCTCACTCGATCACAGGGAGATTGTCCCCCGTGATCACAGAGAAAGAGTGAACATCTCCTGCGATCACATATAGATATCATCACCAGCAATCTCGGTGGTATCGTGAACCTCTTCAAAAACAGGGGGACATCATTATCGTCACCCATGATCATGGTAAGTTAATAATAAAGTAAACTTTAAACTTTCAACTTTTGTTTAAAAAAATGTTTTTGTACAAAACGCTACGGCCCCTTTTTGCCTACAGCCCTAGGCCAGCAGTAAATCCGTCACTACTGTATGCTAGATTTTTCTTTCATGACCACCTTCACATCCTAAGACGCTTGGCTCTAGCCTGGAACCGTTTTAAACACTACTTCAAACTAGTGTAGAGGGTCGTGGCATTATATTGTAGATAACAATTTTTTTATGTTCATAACCTGAAGATGTGCTTAGTGGCATAAATAACACCCCGGCAGCCCCCGCAGCTCGAGGGGGCACCGATGTCCAAGGAGCGCTGAGGTCTGACTGCCACCGCTTACCACAATCGCGAAAAAAGGTGATGTCATTTCAGTGACCGCTGGAGACGGATGATATGTCTTCAAAACCGAAGAATATATTCATGATTTTACTGCAATAGTGGAAAAAGATGATTTTGACGTTGTTTCCGTGACTGCAGGAGACGAAGATGATGTCTTTAAAACCGAAGAATATATCCATGAATTTACCACAGTTGCGGCAAAAATGACGTTGTTTCCATGACCGCGAGAGATGATGATGATGTCTTCAAGATCAAAGATTTTGAACAAGATATTGCAACGATGACGAGTTTCCATGACCGCGGGAGACGATGATCATGTCTACATGAATGCAAGGAGATATTTAAGATTCGCCATCCACGTGTAGTGCAGGGGGGCGTAGCTCAATGTACCACTGGATGTGCTCTTACCAGTACTATAAAAAGATGTAGTTATCTATAACACTAAAAGGATCAATGATCAATTAACACAACAGTTAACCTAAACTTTTTAAATCTATCAATATCTTGATCCAGGGTAATCCATCATGAAACATAAATCCATTGGTGATTGGCAATATTTGAACGTGGGACATCAGAGACCAAAGTCCCGTGTCCTACCACTACACCAGCTATCTCCGAAAAGAGCTAGAGGAGTAATTAATCGCCGAAGATATCTAAATGTCAAGTATGATGAATACCAAGTTAGCCAACCTGCAGTCCAACAGGAAGTCCTTTGCTGTTGAGCATGACAGGGAAAGCTGTGGCTGGCATGTCTACTAGGTTGAAGAATGACAAGTACGCAGCGTTGACCTGTTTAAAGTAGATCTGCATGTGTAGATGAGCAGGATCAGGGAATGCGGGATACAGGAGAACTCCATTGTCTCCAAGGCAGTCCTGCAAATAGCATTATTGTTCCAAAACTCAGCATTGCAACTAGACACTATAGGCATGTGCAAACATTGTGGAATAGATTGAGAGGCGTAAAAAAGTAATAATTTAAAAATTACTAAAGACCAGCCTGAATAGTTAGGAGTATGTACAAGTTTATTCAGCTTTCAACACTTAAGTAAGGAATTTTTTTATGGGATAGAACTCATATACCTTAGATGTACTCTAAGGGCTAATAGATACCATTTGTGGCTAATATAAGATTTCTTCAGAGAGTAGGTTGAAGAAAAATGCATTCTTTCTTATTCAACACTTAAGATAGCACGGGTCGACAAAGTATTAGATTGTGGTAGTGGGATTCTAGTGAAGTACCGCACTTTTTCACGTTTCATACATTGGTTTTGTTACATCTTTTAATTAACTGATTTTTTTAAAGTCCCTATACATTTTGCACTTTTAAGTTTTTGAACCATAGATGATAGTTGTATTAAATAATAGGTTACTTTTCATAACAAACCCTTAAATGCTATGATTTATCACACAGCCACAATATTGTTTACAGAAATAACAGATTTAAAATATGCAGCTCTCAAAAATTGACTTATTGTTTGCTTATAAAAGTTATAGTATTACATTTAGTTTCTGAAAGATGAGATCTTTGCACTCATCCATGCGGCAAGCCTCTTGTTCCGAATATACGTCTGCAAACCACTTCTTCATGGCTCCATAAATAAGAGCATGAAGTGTATGAGGTGAAAGACATAAAAACCAAAGTATCCACTGCCACAAAACACTCTTCCACTCCTACAACAACAGAGTAAATTAGCTTGGCAAGTTTCAACAGGATTAGATAACAGAGTTCTCATAACCTGAAATGAGTTAGAGCAACATGAAATTCAATTAAGGAAAACGGCAGACCAGAAGGTCTAACAGCTATATATTCCTAAATTGTGTCATTTTGTCAATTAATCTTATAGGGAAAATATATTAGCTGATGTATACTACATTTTGCTCAATGTCTCTTCTAACACAAACACACATACATGTACTTTGTTCAGTAACTACTCTATTTAAGTCATTCAAACTATTTGATCTGTCTCTCTAACGCTCCTTTCACAATATCTCCGCCGCCCAGTTGAAAACAATATGATTTTACGTTGTGTCCAAAGTTTCTTCCACACTACATGGTTTCTGACTCTACATCAAGATAGTTGTGTTTACAAAATCACAATAACATAAACAGTGTCTAATTGACAGGTCAGATTGTATACAATAAACATTGCAAAAGCTGATATATTTGCACTTGCTGGTGGGCTGCTGTTCGTTTAAAAACTGTGTAGTATGAAAGCTTGCATTTATAACTAAATACATCAGTGACGCACTGCCATGGCACAAAAACCGTCCGGTTCAGTGGCTGTGAGATGGTTTACTGCCGCCGCCATAACCGTGTAGTGTGAAAGCTCTCATGCTCTCTTCTTTTGTACGGTTTTTATCAGTACGGCAAACCGTATAGTGTGAAAGGAGCGTTAGATATATCTTTTATGTTCTAAATTAAAGAGTCCAACTATTGTTGTGTGTTGTTTTGGTCTTACTTCTTGTTGGAATAAATAAAACTGTTGTTCTCAAAGTTCTCTCAATTAATATTATCAGTTTACTCAAACTATTTGATCAGCAGTAGCAAACTATCGAGATTAATTGTATAAACTCAGCTCAAGAATTGAATTCTGAACCTCAAAAATTGAAGTCTCAAGATTTTATATCTAAAAAAATAAATCAACTCAACACTTGGTCTCACACTGAGGTGAAACCCTTCCATTCACCTTCCACTTGATCAATAATATTTCATTCAGATATTACAAGACGCATTGCCATAATATTTCAACTCCCCCTGAGTAAAAATAAAAATAAAAACTCAATTGCTAAAACACATTTCCTTGAGAGCAGCTCATCACCAACTCCTACTTATAAGTACAGTTATGTAACAAGCTCCACTCTCATGAAACTTTTTTCTTTAAAAATTTAAATATCTTTTACTATAAACATATTGCTTAGTTTCATTCAAAAAAATAAATTTGTACCCACAGTTATACTATCTTCCGACTTTTGAAATATCGTGTGACATGCTTTCATCCTTAACAGCATGATGCAGGATAGTTGAGCCGTGTGTTTGAACTCATCTATGTTCATCTGCAATGAGGAGAAAAGAAGAAATCACTTTACTTACATATAATTAAACCCTTTGAGTATACAACAGACAGATGAGACACAAAGGTGCATAGTTAAAGACAAGAAAGAGTAAAGAGTTAGAATGAAACAGAACTTTGAGTTTTAATTTACCTAGAATTTCGTAATTTACTTTAGTTTATCGTTCATTTTAGCAAGGATGATTTTCATTTGGACTCACATCCTTTAGAACTGGTATACAAAATGTTAAAATGACGGTTCTGTAAAACGTTTATTGATACGGTTGAGTTGACAAACATATGATAATCAAAGCAGGGCGTGACCTTGGGCAGTTTGTAGCTATGACATCAAAAGGGCCAAAGGAGACACACTTTCATATCTGATTCAACGGTGTCTACAAGTACATATTTTATTTTAACCATTACATTCTTTACTTTACCGATAAACAGTAGATATACATTCAAGGTTTCACTTAACCAACCAATGAATCATTCATTGCACTTTACTACTTTACCTTTTCCACTTTCACTCCTAGAGAGTTCTCTACATGGGCTATGGTTTTGTTGAGAGCTGCTTTCACATCCCCGCAAACACTACTGGTTATCTTAGAACCGTCGCTGTCCATGTAATAAAACTTCACCTTCCTCAAATCTACCTGAAACAAGATCAAATGTAAAGTAGTGTGGCATGGTACAATACAATAGTTAAGAACACAGAACTACCTTCATAGGCTTTCACCATAACAATGAAATACAAAGATTCAACTGTTTGAAGAAAATACATGATTTTTTTCAGTTAACCTTACAATGTGGGCATCCTTGCATAGATTATAAGTACAGAAAGCCTTACATTGGCGCACGGTTTTCACTTTAAAGCGCATAGTTTTTACCTTGTTGCACACCAGTATTCCAACCAAACAACACAAATTAAACAGCATGCTTTTATTATGCACGTAATCCACATATGCTTGAAAATAAGTTGGTAACACTTAAAGATATTACGACTATGATCAGCTGGTGCAGCATTTCCCATTTCGTTCAATGTTTGGATTTAACCTAATCTAAAAACGTGTTGTACAGTGTTTGAAAGACTAATTATTTACATGAGTTATTGTAACTGTTGGAAAAATATAATGTGTAACACGGGTGCAAACTGCCTTTGCTGCACTCGAGAAACTTTCCACACTCGCCTACGGCTCGTCCGTAAACAATTCTCTCGTGTGCGGCATAGTGCCACTTTGCCCACTAGTTACACAAATAACTATAGTATTACGGAAACAAATTTACCCTAGGGAAGAAGCTATTAGGTGGCATGGTAAGACCTAGGTCCAGGACCGATTTACTTTTTTCATTTTGATGTCCCCCAGAGGCCAAAAACACGATTTGTTCAAATTTGTATAAGTATATATTTAGATGGGTGTTCCACATAAACAATCATAGTTACTCCTGCTACTTACCTTAAGGGTTGTTGACAAGCTAGTGGGAGAAAGTATATGTCAGATTGCTGATACGGTTTATTTTAGTTATATATGTTATGACCCAAAGCTGTACACTTACAGGTTCGTCCAGCCTCAGTTCCTTCAGTCTGTTCTCATCTTCTACACAGGAAGAGTACAACAGTGGCAAATCCTCGGAGTATCTCGCCATCGGAGCAAACACAAACACTTTGGGCCACAGGGGGTCCTCAGATGTAGGCATGTGGTCCTTGGCATTTATGTAACCTGCAAAGTCATACAAACATTTACTTTCTAAATAAAATAAACAGTACGTTTGTTATTAAACACTTTCTCACGCAGCAGTTTTGCTACTACTTGTGAAATTTTTTTTTTATATTGATTTTTTTTCCTGAACGCTTTGTCTTAGGTAAACTTATAAACTAACTTACCTAACTATAAAATGAGTAACTAGTAGTTGGAAGCATACAAAAAGTTCACAACACAACACATATTAAAATAGTTTTTGCCTATTAATAGGGACTTTTTCACGTGAAATCTCGTGAAATCATTTTTGTTGTCCATCCAATCTATCCATCTTGCTTAATGCAAAAATTATAGTGTAAACATTTATTTATTTATGATTACTAAAGTTACTACCAGTACCCATTCAATTTTAAGAATTCTTTTGCGGAGAAATTTGTTTGTTTGTTTGCCAGTTACAGTACTAGAACCCCTTATTAAACGACCAGTAGAAAAATTATAAGTACCGCTCATTTTTCATATCAGATGTTGGGCAATGGTTTAGTATGAACGAAAAAAGCTGGATGATCAGAGCAAGAAACAAGCCAGCGGAGCATTTGCTTCACTCATAGAAAGTGAAGCAAACTCCTAGATATCACCTGTATTCACAAAAAAAATTTAAAAAAATATTAAGCACAACCATTTAAAAATTCAAATACAAATAATCCTTGACTCATGTCAGGACCTCCGTGGACAAGAGTGAAAAATAGGTGCTATAAACACAAATCCTGAGGAGAATCTTAACAAATCTCAGATAGGTACAGTGAGTTATACAGTACAGCTTTTTAAACCAAATATAGGTAAACCTAATATTAAAATCTACAAGAAATTTAAATAAAATTGATCCTTTACTTAATTTTACCTGAGGAAGGTTTGTGGCCGAACACTCCACAGAAACTGGCTGGAACCCGACCTGAACCTCCGATGTCAGAACCCAAACCAATAACTGAGGCAGCTGAACCCAGCAGGGCTCCCTGCAAACAGTAGCATAAATAAATAAACGGTCAGCAAACTGACACATACTTTAATATATTAGCTTGACATTAAAATTAAACATCCTAACTACTTTCACGGGCAAAAAATTCAAAACAATTACAATAGGTAACTTAAAGGGAGAAAGAGTGCTGAAAGATACCTTAATAAGTACATGCCAAATTTCATGAAAAATGGATTACAGGTGTGGATTTTATTAAATGTTATAAGTTTTGTTAAAATCATAAAAATTGCAAAAACTGTTGAAGTAAATACAGACATCACTTTGAAAACCCCTTTTTTTTGGGTTTAGAAGGAATTTCCAAAACAAGTTTCCACCCAAAAATAAAAAATGTTGACGAAAACAATACTTTATTTTATCTAAATGCTATTTATTAGGAGGATAGAGTAAAGATAAAATGTTAGGCCTTTAAGAAGATAAACATTACAAATACATAACACTAGATTATCTTCGAATCTGCTTGATAAAAACTTTGTATGGATTTGACGTTTCTCTGTGTATGATTCGCACATACCACTACTCACTTTGTTTTTACTACTTATTACAGTAATTGACTCATTGAGTTGTTTGATTAAAGTTGTCGTTAATATTTTGACCAAATTGGACGAAGTTGAAGTGAGGCAATGATAGATTGCGCTTACATAAGTTCTTCCTTATTTATATCGCATTTCGCATATGCAGATTTTTTTACCAAGGTAAACTAATAGGATGACTTATTGTAACTTTCTTTCATATAACATCAACTATCTCAGTGGTAACAAAAGACAACGAATAAAATAGAGTTTTAGTCACTAGCACAATCGTGGCAGCCTCATTCATCTATGTTTTTCTTTATCAAAAAAAGAATTGCGTACCACTGGTCCATATAGATGGGATGTCTATTTCAGTACCTATACAAAAGTCAATGGTATACTACAATAATATATTAAATTTACACATAATGGGTTTATTGTTGTCCCATTTTTTCCAAAAAATAAGGATTGTACTGTACAAACTACTAATTTTAAGGGACAAAGCTTGTTTTGGTAAATTATTTGAAGTTTGTCAGTTTGTGAGTGTTATTTATGCTTAACCTAGTACTAAAATGCAAATTAAAAATCACATTTAGAATAAAAATAGAGCAAGATTCTGTCAACATATCACAAATAAATAAGGTACAGTACAAAACCCATCTAATGTAGTTTGTGGAATCATTCATGTGTTGTTTATTTACTCTATTCACTAATTAATTTATTTGAGAAAGCTTTAACTAATACGATAACGATTATTTCATATATTTCTGTGAGATGATGTCATACAACATCTAATTGTTGTTTTTGTTATTGTGTTGGGGAAACAATGCAATTAGTAAAATCCGAGTTTGCTCATGTCAAAGATAAAATGGAAAATTTTGCTGGAATGTTCCATTAAATGTGTTACTGTGAATGCTAATAAAGTTATTTTTTAATTGACTGAATACAAATAACAGAAGTAGACTTCCTTTTGTCATTGGACGACATCTTAACTCTTGTCAGGGAATTTCAAATGCAAGAACGGCAAGATCACTATTGGTGTTTAATTTTGAAGGTCTAAAGAAACAATTCTATAAAACAGTAGAGAACAGACACCACATGTCTCCATGTAGACAATCACGGGACTTGTAATGATCCTTACAAAGAATGAATCCAACCAAAGAACCAAACCAAAACCAAGAACCAAGAACAAATTGTTCAAACCTCTCCACCTGAGGAGCCCCCGGATGTTCTCGCAGTGTTGTAAGGGTTGTTGGTCCTCCCCGTAACAGGGTTGTATGTCTCCCAGCTCAGACACAACTCTGGCGTGTTGGACACAACGAGAACTACGGCTCCTCTAGTCCTCAGTCTAGCCACCGCATCAGAGTCTTCTTTAGCAACTCTGGACCTGTTGGGTACACCAGCGTTGTTGCTCATACCTACACACATACGTCAGCCTCTATTAGCAAATCTCCCATATAGGGAAAACACTATTACCGTAAGTCTCATAGTAAATAACTAGTATGCGAACCAGCATGACCGCACTTCTAAAACAATAGGCAACAAAAAATAGGTAGGTTTGGTTTTTGACTCACTCGTGTTACACATTATATTTTTCCTACAGTTACTATAAAGCATATAAATAATTAGTCTTTCAAACACTGTACAATACGTTTTTAGATTAGGTTAAATCCAAACATTGAACGAAATGGGAAATGCTGCACCAGCTGATCGTAGTCGTAATATTTTTAAGTGTTGCCAACTTATTTTCAAGCATACACGGATTACGTGTATAATAAAAGTATGCTGTTAATTTGTGTTGTTTGGTTGGAATACTGGTGTGCGGCAAAGAAAAAAACTGTGCGCCAAAGTATGGCTTTCTGTACTATAATCTGTGCAAGGAAGCCCACTTTGTCGGGTGTCTGTAGGGAAAATAATTTGTTGAAGCGTTGTTTTAAAGTATAAATAATGTTTGCAAAGAAATTTCTATAAAAATTTACATGAAGAGTAAGTAAATTGATGCACAGTAGCATGTTTATGAATATTTTGATCAAAGAAAATCTGATCAAGCAAATGGAAATTCACTTAATCTGCAGGATCACTGTAGCAGGGGTATTTATAATGTTGGTTTGTTCTGATCTCTGTTGTTAGAAATGCAGATCATCTGACAGTAAGAGGTAATTGAATTTTAAACAGCTATAAACCTCCAGCTCGGGTGCTTGTTATATGCGGTGGAAAATAAACAGTGTGAGAGGTCTAGAATTCATGACCAGCAGAATGTAATCTGTAATCTGTGTAGAGAATTTAGCAACAAATTCACTTTCAGATGAAGAAGTTCTTCTGAGTTCAAGTGTTTACAAATACAGTACATACATAATAAAAAAAATATAGCACAATGGTTAAACATGTTATCCTCCTTCTCTTTTAATTATGTCTTCAGATGATAGTTGGTGAGGTAAAAAGATTCTATCTTTTGCAATAAGTTAACCCTCAATTAATTATTTTTTTTGTTAATCGTATTTAGTGTGTAGCGCAATCTAACTTATAGCTATTCGTAAATTTTTCAGGAGATATTATAATGAAAGGCTGGTCTACACTTGCAAATTTATCGTCAGTCTTGCATAAACCCTTATTGATCTGAAACTGGCAAAAATGTCATCATGGGGATGAGATACTTAATTCACATTAGTAGATATATATGGTGAAAGGTACTAACTATGTATGTTTCTTGTAACGGTATCTAATTCATGATGGAACAATCATAGCACAAGCACATTCATACCTTTGACTGGTATACTCTCCTTGATTGTTATAGGTACTCCCAGCAATGGCTTGTCCCTGGCTAATTCTTCCTCAGTACATAACGTCTCTGCCAACATGGCGTCAATCTGTACAAATAAAGGAATCTGTTATTACAATTTGTTTTAGAATTCCAAATCCAAATGTCCTCCTCCTCCGATTAAATCCTTAACTACGGTACTTTATCAGCTGTATTTGTTACTGGTTATGTTGGTGATGTTATTTTATCCATGAACTATACGAATTATACGTTTATTTCAAAGTGAGTTTGTTTTGTTTGTGATGATTGAAAATCTGGTGATCATCGTTGACTGAATGTTGAAATAACAAATATGTTCAATAAACCAATAAACCCAAAGTAAAATTATCAACCAGAAGTATTGCATGAACATTTTGGGAGGCATGGAATGGTGGATGTAAGATTTAAACTCCCTTTTACAATGTTTATAGAATTATTATTGTTTAGTTTTACTGATACCGGTACCTAAGTTAAGTGAGGATATAACATTATCCGTATAATAACTGTAGTCATAATATTGTGATCCGAATAGGGAGAAAATAAGCTAAATAAGTGTGTGGATTTAGATATAAAACAAAATGTAATAAAAACAAGGATGAAAAACAGATACTTGTGAATGAAACTTGGAGGCTGTATAGTTAAAACATATATTATATTGTACCGATGCCTATATTATTGTTACCTATGTGTAGGCTATTATATTGTACCTTCTTAGCCTCCTCCAATGCCTGGTCAAACCTAGACTGCACCACTGCATTGATGATGGGGTTCACCTCCTTTATTCTGGTTACATATGCTTGTATTATATCTTGGCAATGGACCTGAAACAATGTAACATACAGCAATGTAACAATATAACATGCATAAACTTCATACTTTTATGTTTTCTTGTTAAGTTAAGCTTACTTCATGCAAGCTAAACTTATGCCTTAAGAAACTTATGTGAGACATTAAGGCGACCCATACCTGGAGATTCCAAAGTGTTTTCATATTTTGGGACATATATAGATATTTATTTCCATTTTTTAAATGAAAATTATAGTTTTGGAAATTATTACGCTGCAGTTCAGCTGACAACTAAACAACTGGGTGTTTTTTATAAAATGCAACCAAAATTAATTACAAATATAGAGAGTCTCTGTTAGAGACAAACAAGCTCACAGGTAGGCAATCCTGCTCTATTATTTACCTCATTGTAGATCAGCTGATTAGCAGTGTTGCATTGTTGTCTGTTTAGTGTTATTTGGAATTTATTGTAAATAACCCACAATATTATATTTTCGCAAGCTCAAAGCTTATATAATTGTATAGAAGAACACATTCAAGGTCAATTGTTTTGTACCGCTTGCTCCTACTTTGCAATGCAACTTAAAATTTACATTGTTTGAATAAAATAAAATATTCTTCTTATTTCTGAAGCCATCCTTGCCTTGCCACATGTCTTGCTCAACTCGACTTTAAATTTGTGGAAATATTGTACAATATGGTACAGTTTGTTATAAATCAAGAAAGGTTTGCAATTCAGTTTCCAGGTGAGACTCCAGTACCTAGTGAATCAAAAAGCCTACAGAATATGATAAATTTAAAGATAAATTAATACAGCACAATACTTACTTTTTCCCCAGAAGTCTATTATTCTTATGGGTTTTGTAAAAAAACCATGCTGATTCTTATTCATAAGAATTCCAAATAATTCTAAATCGTGTAGATATCAATTAATGAAACAATCCTTATCAGGTAATGAAGTAAAATAATCAGGGGTGCCAAGTTATCAGCTTACTATGTCCCTAAACAGTCACTCTCTGTATTTGTAATTTGGGTTGTTTGGAAAAAATCACCTTGTTTTTTAAGATGCCTGAAAGTTAAAAATCTTTTCACAAAACTTGAATGGGTTTGGACCGCTTTCCCTTAAAAGTGTTTGAATTAATTGCAAAAATGCCACTGGCGTAGATACGAGAGGAAAAAAAACATACCATGCCTCGTCGATATCCACTTAAGCTTTTTCAATCTTTACCTTTCTACTCCTGACCATCCGGGCGAGATCGGACGCACTGTAGAGCAACAACTGGCTGGAGACTGGAGGTAGCGGATTTCTTCGGTGAAATATACACAAGATGTGAGACAACGTCCAGAACACGGCGACAACAGGACGAATGGCTAACCACACCAGCCATTGCTGCCATGGAGCCCACATCTGTAACAATATTTAATTTTTTATAAATAACAACTCTATTATTATTTTTTATTTTTTTAGAAAAGTTCCTTGAGCAGTAGCAATGTTGTCTGACTAAAACAGCTTCCACACCGGAGTAGTTACAATACATGTTCACAAAAGTTCATATTACATATGAAGAATCCTGGTAAGTACTCACAATTTTGCTTAAATCATTTGCGATTATTTTCAACAGCTTTTTACTGATTTTTCCCAGGTTGGAAATCTTCTTTGATATTCAATATGTCATTCAATTGGAAAGACGTTTATAGTTACTGCAAAACATATAGAACATATAATTACTGTAAAACTGTATTTTCTGTTACATTTAAAAAAAACAATAAATTTTTTCTAAAGGCAAAGAATGAGAGATCTTTTTCCTAAAATTCTAAGGATATTTATTAAATCAAAATGTTCTGTTAAATCAATTAAAATTGGTACTGTGTAGTTCAAACACACAAACTAAAAAAAATCAAGTGTAACAAAAACAACGTTTTTAATGTTTGAGAGACTGTATTGTCAAGTGAATGTATATACAGGGTTCGTAAAAAGTGTGGAGACCCCCTGTTATTTTTTTAACGGCCCATACTAGAAAAACTAAACTCGGCACACCTTTATGACATCTTATGAAGTACTTTTTGGGCATAACCGTCACTTGGTGTACATCCCCAAAATGGGGGATTTTGGGGGAAACTTAAAAATTTCAAATACAAAGACCCATCGAGTGGCCCCTCATTTTGAAGGTCCTGATAAAAATAGACCAACAACGCAAACTAGAGGTCTTTATCTCAATCCAGTAAAAAATGGCAGCCAATTGAAATTCTCAGAAGTTAAATTAAACTTACAGCTTTCCAAGTCTGGAGACCCCCTGTAAATTTTGTAGCGGCTCACACTAGGAAAACTAAACTCTACACACCTTTTTGGCATGTTATGAAGTACTTTTTAAGCCTAATAGCCACTTGCTTACCAAACCCAAAATGGGGGATTTTGGGGGAAACTCAAAAGTTTTAAACGATAAGCCCCATCAAGTGACCCCTTATTTTGAAGGTCCTGGTAAAAGAAAACTAACAACGCAAACTAGAGGTTTCTATCTCAATCCAATAAAAAATGGAAGCTGATTGAAATCTTTAGAAATCGGTAATAACTTGCAATTTTATATTCAATTGGCTGCCATATTTTACTGTGTTAAGATAGAGACCTATATTTTGCATTGTTAGTTTTCTTTTATAATGACCTTTAAAATGAGGGGTCACTCGATGGGGATTATCATTAAAAAAAATTGAGTTTCCCCCAAAATCCCCCATTTTGGGTTTGGGAACTTATGAGAATTTCAATTTGCTGCCATTTTTTACTGAACTGAGATAGAGGCCTCTAATTTGCGTTGTTGATTTTCTTTTACCAGGACCTTCAAAAGGAGGGGTCACTCGATGGGTCTTTGTATTTTAAATATTTGAGTTTCCCCCAAAATCCCCCATTTTGGGGATGAACACCAAGTGGCGGCTATTCCCAAAAAGTACTTCATAACATGCCATAATGGTGTGCCGAGTTTAGTTTTTCTAGTATGGGCTGTTAAAAAAATAACAAGGGGTCTCCACACTTTTTACTAACCCTGTATAGTTAATTTGTATGGACAGAATCGAGATGGCAGGATGCATATAGTTATATTTTCTCTTATGAGGTAGACTGCAGACAAAATTCACCACTTTGGATTTTAGGCAAGTAAATAAACAAACGAGTTATCAAGGCTTAAAGATAGCAAATTTAGAATCCATTAATCTACCAGGCCTACTGATAAAGCTAATCTTGAGAATGGGAAAATATTTTGCACTGAAATGGTGAATGGTGAGAGACATGTGAAAACTATCTTGATTAGGAGGATGTTTTCTCTGATTGCAATAAATTTACAAGGGATTTTGGAATCCTGCAGACAAAGGATACTATAACCACAAGGCTGTCTTAGCCTTATAGGAAAAATTATATGCTGATAGAATTTGGTATGTAATGTAAAGATCAAAGTCATGGTTATCTAGTGACTGGTTACAGTTCAGGACTTTTGTTATAGGTTCACATCTTGCCAATTACCAATGAATGAGGATTATGAAATTAATGAAGATTAGAAAATGGATTAAAGAAATATTAGTTAATATCTATACAGGGTACTCTTTCTTTCTACTCTGAACTATTGTTATTAAATTACTTTCTTGATTGTGAAAATTGCTTTACTGTGAGAAATAATAATTATAATGTAAATTATCAATATTATCTAATATTTAATATGTAAAATTAAAATAAACTGTATCGGCAATCTGACACATACTTTCTCCCATTAGCTTGTCATCAAACCGAAGGTAAATAGTGAAAGAATGAAATTTATTAGGAAAATCACAATAGTTGCATTAAATTTTTAATCATAATCTTTACAGCCATGGGGTTTTTTCTCAAAACTCAAACATTATGAGGAAAACAATACTTTCTAGAAGTACAATGTATTGGTGTATTAACTTAGTTTTCCTATTTAATGCCAAAGAATCAGTGTACCGAATTTCAGCCTCCTAGGTAAATGGGAAGTGGGAGAATTAGTGATGAGTGAGTGAGTGAGTGAGTCAGTCAGTCAGTGAGGGCTTTGCCTTTTATATATTTAGATTAGTTATCTCGAGTTATTGTGCTAATGTACAAATATATACCTATTTACACTAATTAATATGAATTTGTTTATATAAATATGAACAGATGGTGTTTTTGGCCTCTAGGGACCTCAAAAGGAAAAAGTAAATCGGTCCCAGGTTCAGGTCTTACCATGAGTACTACGGTAATAGCTTATTCCCTAATTGAGAAATTCGCTAAAAGGTGCAAGTAATTACTCATCATTGTTTGAAATCACATTTTAGTAGTAGGCTACTTAAATGTTTATTATTAATATGTTTCTCTAATCAAAACTAAAGTTTGACAGCAAGGTTGTAACAGAATGTTCAAAACACTCTTATCTTGAAAAATCAAATGTCAAATGTGTTATTTTTACAATAAAACGGTTGGTAAGCTGTGTTTGTGACAAGGTTTAGAGATCCAGTTCCATGATTATGTTGATTTCTCAATATAGAATTTTCAATAGCTATTTAATAGCAAATAATCTTATACAATCATTGTAAATAACATAACCATCTTGTCCATCAAATTCCACAGTAAATATCATCTTCTTCACCACTTATGCCAAGTTTCTATCCCTAGGGCTGTATTGGGTGATTACTGTTTTGTTTTTGCATTTTCTTTTACACTTCCTTACAAACTCATCTTTCCTTGCTTCCTTATTGTTATTCTGTCAAATTAACTACTGCTTCCTGTTGAGTTTGAAAAATAATCTGACAGAATAAATTATTAGAAGTGCAGAACACATGTTTAAAGTGTGAGTGGTAGGTTGAGCTATGGTGGTCCAGTTTCACTGGAAGTTTGCCATGGAGTAGTGTTAAATGTTTAACAGAGTAACTTACCATAAAAACTAAACATAAAAACACAACACTATATGCATTATGCAAGCATTACGACACTTCTCTTGACATTTTTAAATCCATACCCTACAATATTTTTTTCAATATGTATCATGTGAAGATGGACAGTATTTTGTACATAATAAAAAAACAAATGTCATGTTGTTTTGCCAGTTATTTGATTGTTTACTCTCGTTGTGGGATAATCCTAATGATTCATGATTCATCCAACTTATTTTGAGTCTTAAAATTCCCTAATAAAATGACCAGTTCTAATATGTTTATGGCAAATGTTTTTAGTGTAAATATTTTGACTTCATTTTATGAGTGTCGCTCAAAGTTGAGTATACTGTAATACCTTTTACCAGTATTAAGTTATCTGGTATATAAAAAAACAGTACTGCCAATCTTACTAATATTATAAATGTGAAAGTTTGTGTGTTTGAAGTTCAATCACGCATCAACCACTGGACGGATTGGGCTGAACTTTGGCATGATGATAGCTTACATTCCCGATTAACATATAGGCATATTCTTATCTCAAAAATTCTTTCGGGCTCCGCCCCAGTGGCTCTGTAATTCCCCATGTTAACCTTATGAGTATTCATATTTAAAGGAAATTAAAGAATTTAGTCAGCTGTTTCAACTAAAAAAGTTGGTTCTATGATATGGAAAAGCATTAAAAAGTTATAAGATTTACTAACAGGGTGCAGCACTATATTTTGTTGTATTTCTGAAAACAGCTAATTTGAACTAAGCAGTAACAAATAACTGTGATTCGCAATGAGAACTGTCAAAGTAGGATTGTTTGCATAACATAACTATGTTTATGTTTTTCATGTCTTGAATAATTTGTGATATTTTGCGTATTGTTGATGATTTATTTTTCTCTATTGTTTAGGTGAAGTGGTAGAACATTATGGCAATGGTAGATGTGTAATACTATAGAATACTGTAAATTTAAAAAAGCTAATTTTATCAAACTGTGTCCTCCCTTATTGCAAACGCAAAGCTTGAGTATAACTGAAATAAGCATTTTATACTTATATTCCAACCCCGTACGAAGGACGGGTACTCTGCTAGTCCTGTATATAAAAAACAAATCAAATCATGTTTATTAGCACATAACACACAGAGCTTATTGCTAAATGTACAGCTGCTTTGTCATTATTGTTATAATATTATCAAATGTCTTCTCTTAAAATTAAATAACGGTCTTAAAAAGAATGTTATAGGCCTTAGAGGTAATAAAAATAATTGTATACATTTAAGAAACTTATCATTGCATAGACTAACTGAAAAGAAAGATAATGTCAAACTTAAAACTAAATAACAGAATTTATAGAATTCAATAAAAAAACATTTGCAAAACATTAAAAAATGTACAAATATTTTATCTTAGTCAATAACAAAAGTCTTCATTAACATTTTATATCAAAACTATACAAATTAGATCACTTTACCAATGAGAAGTGATACTTAATCAATGTTTATGACATGCCAACTATACTAATACCTACCTCAGCTTAAATTGAAGAGAAAATATATACAGAGTGTCCCACAAAGATGTTTAAACGTTTGACCGTTTATGAACAAAAAAATTTATAACTTTACAAAATTTAATAAGTAGGTATTTCAAACATTTTGTTTAAATTTCCGCTTCATAAAATTTATAGGAATAAATTGATGGTGGAATATTGCAGATGATACACCGAAGTTAAAGTCGTGGTGTTGCCAACAGAGCTTTTATTCCTTGGACGATTACTTTGATGCTCAGTTAATTTTTAATATTTTTATGCCGCCTGACACTCAAGTCAATTATTAGTTAATTAATTATTATATGTTGAAGTATTTTTTTTATCTGTAAGTTTTATGATATTTGTATCATTATTGAAGCGACCTATGCAGAAATGGTCAACGGTCAAGAGGATGGTAATTATGATATGCAATATGCGATATGCAATATGTTGTTTACCGGCAAATCAGGTAATTTGTTTAGTGTAGTTTTGATACTTGTACAAGTAAATAAGTAAAAATTATTGCTTGAGCAATAAAAGTATTATTAATTTAGTTAAGTTTCAAAACTGTTGTTGTTGTTGCATAAACACTGTCTCATGAAGCAGGCATGGAATGTTGAAAAAGTTAAATGTAAATCTTGTGTACTCCTATGGGACAGCATTTTTGAAATTCTGCAAAAATATCACTTAACCCATTGACAACATAATTATCAAACTCTGAGTAAGGGTTATGGGAAAAAAATTCAATTATACTTTTCAGTACTTTGATGATTATTGAAAACTAGCTGTACCCGCGGGCTTTGCCCCGTCAAACTTCTTAATTTCCAAGATGAGCTCGTTCGCATGGCTCAATCACGTCCGGGTTGAAGTTCGTTCGCTACGCTCACTCAACTTTTGGTTGCAAATTAGCTGTGTCATAAATTTAAAAAAATAATAGTGCTGCACCTTGTTGGTAATCCTTGTACCTTTAAAACAGAACCAACTTGTTTAATTGAAACAGCTGTTAAGATTCATTAATTCCTTTTAAATATGAAAAATCATAAGGTTAACATGGGAAACTCCAGAGCCACTGGGGTGGAGCCCGAGAGTCCGATCAGAATAAAAACAGCTTAGTTTTCCTATTTAATGCCTAAAGAATCAGTGTACCAAATTTCAGCCTCCTAGGTAATTGGGAAGTGGGAGAATTAGTGATGAGTGAGTGAGTGAGTGAGTCAGTCAGTGAGGGCTTTGCCTTTTATATATTTGAAAATACCAGCAAAATACCAGTCATCTAATTCATGATCTAATCAAGCCACATTAGTGATACTAATGTGTATAGTAGTGACTACTTAGTTAGTGATACTAAATCCTATTTTTCCCAATCCTTACTTCAACTTTTGCTTGTATAAATAAACTACCACAAAATTCGAAAACCACCCAAGATTACAGGGATGCAAACGTAACGCCAAATAATTCATAAACAATGTGAAAGTAGCAATGAACCCTGATGTGAATGCTTCTTACCTTGTGTGATGTTCTACTTCCGAGCTCAACAGTGAACAGCTCACAGGAGAAACTGAGAAACTGACAAGAGAGGGAAAAAGAGAGAGGATGAGGGAGAAAGAGGGGAGACACTTCAGTGTCAATGTCAGTGTCTAGCCTTGCCCTAGACCTAGACAAATACACAAGCGGATAAAGCAACCAGAGAATAATTCATAACAGACTACTTGTTATCTAATCAGAATAATAAAGTGTATGTTACCAGCAAAGTATAAGATCCAGGCATTTTATAGCAAGACTAGACATTCTACAGTGTCTAGATCTTTTAGGCAAAGTATGAAATAGTACAATAATGTTAATATCGTTTCATACAACACCAGGGTTTGGCCCGTTCACTTACAAAAAACCGTTTAAAATTCCACCGGTGAAGATATACACAAAGTATACACTTTGACTAGGTATTGTATATGATGCCTGTCATTCAGAATGCCCACAGTTGTGTAGGACAAAGTAATATGAGATTGTCCTAAAAACTTGTGCTTTACAACTGAAATATAGTCATTCCATTACTAGGCAAAGTATAAAGGGCTTTATTTCATACTTTTTGACGGACTGATTTTTTAGGCAATATAGAGCCGGTAATTATTTTTAAACTTTAGTTCATAATAATTTTCAAATTAATAATGTTTATACAATTATTGTTTAAACAGTTTTTAAGTGTTAAGTGGATTTTTTTTTTCAATTAACTACAGTTTAGTAAGCACGATCACTACATAGTAAAATGTTTGTTTTAAATGTTGCGTTGCATTGTAATAGTAATAAGTATAACCAGTTGAAATGTATAAAATCCGCTAAACGTATTGTAAACCCTCTAAAATACATTCGCTTATAGTACAAATTCCTTTCAAATCAACTCGAGTATATTCAGTTTTAATTCGTACGTAAATTCGACTTTAATTTACGTAAATAAGCCACGTTGTGATTAGACTTGCTCTTCATTATGTATTGCTCATTGTACATGACACATTGCTCTTCATCGTGTGCTAAGACTTGTTCAGTTCAAGTTTTACCATACGAGGGACATGGAACAGTTTTTTCCAACAGTCACCCGACAAAGTGGGCTCCTTGTACAGAAAGCCTTACTTTAGCGCACAGTTTTTACTTTTGCGCACACCAGTACTCCAACCAAACAGCACAAAACAGCGTGCTTTTACTATGCACGTAATCCGTGTATGCTTGAAAATAAGTTAGCATTTTAACAGATGATATTTATTTGTTTACTAATTCATTCAATTATTGTTGTTCACTTAAACTTTTTACTAAATACACGTATTTTTACTCTTGTCTAGCATTTGTGAGTTCACAACCTCAATTGGTGACCCCGACGCGATCCGAAATGTCAAACGGAGAACAATCAGTACACAGAATTCAAGTCAAGATCCCTCCTTTCTGGCACTCAGATCCAGAATTGTGGTTTGCACAAATCGAAACCCAGTTTTCTCTAGCGGGGATCACGGTCGACGAAACTAAGTTCTATTACGTCTGCGGTAACCTAGATGCGAAATACGCAGCGGAAGTGAGGGATATCCTCACCAACCCTCCAGCAGAAGAAAAGTACAACAAATTAAAAAAAGAATTTATAAAACGGTTTACCTTGACCCAGGAACAGAAGACGAAACAACTTTTGGAACGAGAAGAGTTAGGTGATCGGAAACCATCACAGTTCCTGAGGCACATGCGTACTCTAGCCGGAACCATGATACCTGATCCACTACTGAAGTTTCAATGGCTTAGCCGTCTTCCTTCAGCAACACAAGCCATCTTGGTAACACAAAAGGCTGCAGACCTCGATACACTGGCGGAGCTTGCGGATGCTGTCCATGAAGTCAGTCCTCACCATCAAGTATCGGAGGCGTCCTTATCAACCCCGATGGAAGAAATGATGGAACGCTTTACAACCACGTTGACATCTAGAGAAGTAACAGAAAAATTTCAACAAGAAATAGCAGGAATCAAAGAAGACATGAGACGTCCAAAATTCCACAAGACATCAGACACATATCCACGTAGACAATCATGGCAATGCTCCAAGAATCGATTTGATCGCCATGACGTCTGTTGGTATCACTGGCGGTTCGGCGACGCAGCAACGAAGTGCACCGACCCTTGCAGATTCAAAGGAAGCAGATCGGGAAACGACCCAGGGAGTCTCTAATGGCGACGAGCGACTCCGACCTCACATGTTCCCGTCGCCTATTTGTCACCGATAAGGTAACCAAACAACAATTTCTAGTTGACACGGGAGCTGATGTATGCGTCTACCCTCGTAATATGTTAGATAAAAAAGACCTAAGACTGACTATACTCTATATGCAGCTAATAATACTGAGATTACGACGTATGGTCTTGTATCTTTGCCTTTGGACTTTGGTCTACGCCGCTCATTTGTTTGGCGTTTCATCGTAGCCGATGTATCCAAACCAATAATAGGGGTAGACTTTCTACACTATTATGATCTGCTTGTTGATGTACGACGTCAATGTTTAGTTGACCAGTCAACTTCGTTTTTTTCCAAAGGTCAACCTCCTTCAGTTCATTTAGTGAGTAGTGTTAAAACTATTAAGTCTTGTCAACAGACAGTTTTCTCTCAATTACTTCATGAATACCCAAACCTCACCAGACCTTCAGGTAAACCTGATTGTACTTCCAAACATGACACAGAACATCATATTGAGACAACACCAGGACCTCCGGTGTTCAGTAAACCCCGCCGCCTGGCACCGGATAAATTTAAACTCGCCAAAAAAGAATTTGAATCCATGGTTCAACTAGGTATAGCTAGACCCTCTTCTAGTTGCTGGTCTTCTCCCCTTCACATGGTTCCCAAAAAAGGCGATGAGTGGAGGCCATGTGGAGATTACAGGGCTTTGAATGCTAGAACTATCCCTGATCGGTACCCTGTTCCCCATATTCAAGATTTCTCTCACCAACTTCATGGTAAGACAATATTCACCACCTTAGATCTTGTTAAGGCTTATCACCAGATTCCGGTTGCTGCTGAGGATGTCCACAAGACAGCAATTACCACACCTTTTGGCCTGTTCGAATTCCCTTACATGTCATTTGGACTATGCAATGCTGCTCAAACGTTTCAACGCTTTATAGATGGCGTACTTAGGGGCTTAGACTTCTGCTACGCTTACATCGACGATATCCTAGTAGCTTCAGAGTCAGAAGAACAACACGTATTACACTTAAAACAGCTCTTTGACCGTTTTTCTACTTATGGGATCCTCATTAACCCAAGTAAGTGTGTTCTAGGAACATCAGTCGTTAACTTTCTAGGGTATGAAGTATCTGGAGAAGGTATCAAACCTTTGCCAGAAAAGGTTAGAGTCATCAACTCATATCCTAAACCTAAAACAGTTAAGGAACTAAGGAGGTTTATTGGCATGATAAATTTTTATCGAAGGTTTTTGCCTAACACGGCGGAGCATCAAAGCTTACTAAACGAACTCCTGAAGGCTAATGTGAAGGGAAATTCACCTGTCAACTGGACCACGGCAAGTAATGAAGCATTTGAGGCTTGCAAGCAAAGCCTTAGTAAAGCTGTGATGCTGTCTCACCCTGTACCAGATGCTCAATTGGCCATTTTCTGCGATTCTTCCGCCCATACTGTGGGGTGTGCGTTGCAGCAAAAGATAGGTGATAGCTGGCAGCCGTTGGCCTTTTTCTCAAAAAAATTAACCTCTGCTGAACAAAATTACAGTGCCTACGACAGAGAGTTGACAGCAATATATTTATCAGTAAAGTACTTCAAACATATGTTAGAAGGTAGGCAGTTTACCATTTTCACAGATCACAAACCACTCACTTTTGCATTTAAGCAAAAAGCTGACAAATGCTCTCCCCGCCAATTTCGTCACTTGGAATACATTGGGCAGTATTCAACGGACATCCGCCACATCTCTGGACAAGGTAATGTGGTAGCTGACACCCTCTCCAGAATTGAGACGATTGCCGTTCCATTGGACTATCAGGCATTAGCAGACTCACAGAGCAAAGATGAAGAGTTAATACGTCACATGCAGTCTGATTCCAGCCTGAAACTTCGACAGATCCCAATACCAGGAACACAGGTTTTGCTTTACTGTGACATATCTACTCCCATCCCTCGTCCCTTCATCACAAGGCCATTTCGACAAACCGTTTTTAACAGTTTACATAATCTCTCCCACCCAGGTGTTAAAGCTTCATTGAAACTTGTCAGTCAACGTTTTGTCTTACAACTACGATCAGCTGGTGCAGCGTTTCCCATTTCGTTCAATTAATGTTTGGATTTAACCTAACCTTAAAACTTGTTATGTACAGTGTTTGGAAGACTTAATCATTTATATGATTTATAGTAACTGTAAGAAAAATATAATGTGTAACACAAGTGCAAACTGCCTTTGCTGCATACGAGAGAAATGTTTACACACGAGCCGTCGCCCACTAGTTACACAAATAACTATTTCAGGACGAAGTAGCCTAAACAGTGATCATAAATTTAAAAAAGTCAAAAGATGAATTAGGCTTATGGATTTGTGTACTGATGGAAAATATATCAGTTTGCCTTTGGATAATACAACATACATTGGAAGTTTTTTATGGTATAATTCACTTAACTGATTTTTATTACAACATTTGTTGTGAATTCTTAGCTTTTCTTTGAGACCTGCATTTCTAAGTTTTGAATTATTAGTCAAAACACTCAAACCGACGTTTTAATTGCGACTTGAAATCAGTGAACTGAAGAAGAAAATTGCCGAACGAAATTAAAAATAATTCCAAAAACTCATATATTTCCAATTCTAAAACATACAAGAGAGTAGGGAGTAGACACGGGGTAGCGGATTTTTATCCCCCTGGAATTTTACCCCCTGGGCAAACGTGACGTCACAAACCAGGGGGTAAAATTCCGGCCGCGAACATTTGAGTTTCGCGACATCAGCTCGATGGATTAAACGCGGAATTAAACATATATTTTCACGGTTGTGAGTTTAATCAGAACACATCAAATTAAAAAACCTAGAATGTACGGCCCGGAATTTTACCCCCCGGAATTTTACCCCCGGAATTTTACCCCCCGGAATTTTACCCCCCGGAATTTTACCCCCTGGCCAGATATAAATTAGTGTGAATGATTAATTATCGTCATTCAGTTTTAATTTAATGGTAAACATTTTATTATTAAGAAGCCTATCTTAATTTATATGTAACATTAACTAATCGCACAGGGTTTTAATGTTAATTTTGAGATTCGAGTGTCATTGAAGCCAACTGTTGGTTAATATGATCAAAATAAAACAGCGAATTCTGTTTACTCAGTTGAGATTACAAAATAAATAAATAAAGATAAGCTACTAAATAATGAAATGTTTACAATTAATTAAAAACAGAAGTTAAGAAAATCAATCATTCAATTTCTAAAATCAGCCAGGGGGTAAAATTCCGGGGGGTAAAATTCCGGGGGGTAAAATTCCGGGGGTAAAATTCCGGGGGGTAAAATTCCGGCCCGTACATCTTCAGTTGCCTAAACGCTAGTTATATGAACAGGGGGTAAAATTCCGGTTTTGTCGCTAATCTAATTAATCACGCTCTGACTATTTTCATTAGACTTCCAAATCCGCGGGGGTAAAATTCCGGCCGCGAACAAACTTTTGGCCACTCAGGTTACTACGTCATAGTGACGTCAGCTTTGCCCAGGGGGTAAAATTCCAGGGGGATAAAATTCCGGCGACCCGTAGACACTGTAGTTCTTACAATACAAACAGGTAGTAGGCCTATAGTGAGTATTGTGATAACCTACATGTAATACGTGCATGTCTTTAATGGATCTGTTCTAAGAATTGTATATGAATAAAAAGTGAAATTATGGCCTGTTCTTTGCCGGAGTAAACAAGTAATGTTTTTTCCTCTTAATGTCTACAAAAATTTAAAATTTAAATTGCGGAATGTTCGACATCAAGGTCAACTTGTGTAGTAATGTTCAAGGACAGATGTAGAGATCGGAAAATGGTCATTTACGCAAAACATAATTGT